TGAGCGATGGGTCTTTGGACAAAGAAATTGATTCCAGGATCAGCAAGGCCAGCCAGGCACTGGGGCAGCTGCATACTAGAGTGCTCAATCAACATAAGATCCATATCTCCACAAAGCTGAAAGTCTACAGAGCTGTGGTTATCCCTTCTTTCTTATATGGATGTATTCCTGGATTCTGAACCGAAGGCACATCAAACAGCTGGAGAAATTTCACATGTGTGCTCTCCATTCTCCACATCCATTGGTAAGGCCATGTCTCCAACCTGGAAGTCTTGGATTGCACAGAGTCCACCAGCATTAAATCCCTGATTTGCAGAGCCCAGATGCAGTTGGGGGGACATGTCATCCGTATGGATGACCACCAAATGCCTCGCCAGTTACTCTATAGTGTACTGGAGTCTGGAAAGAGACCTCGAGGTCGACCATGCAAGTGCTACAAAGATGCTGTGAAAGAAAACCTATGCCACTGTGATATCCAGCCAAGGCAACTAGAAGTTGCAGCTGCTGACAGAACCCGCTGGTGAGTCCTGTGCTATGAAGCCTCCATCGGCTTTGAAGACAGGCGCCACCAAAAACTGACAGAAAATTGCAAATGGCATCACAGAATAACACCTACAGTTACTACAACAATGGACTTCCAGTGCCCCCATTGTGCTAGACTCTGCGCTTCCAGGCTGGGACTGCAGAGCCACCTCCATGCGCACAGATGAACTGCACAACAGCATGTTGTCTTTGAACCCGAAACTACCATACAAGTATATGCAGCATTGTTATGACACTATTCAACAAACTGCTGTCTTTATTACAATTTAAAAAATGGGGATCCCTGCCTCTGCCCCAACAGCTGATACGTATTTCAGACTGGAGTAGCATGAGCTTGGTGTTTTTTGCCAAGTATCATGGATACCTATTCATGACAAACTGTGACATCACTGGTGTTGTAGCATATTCATGTTACATTTGCACTAATTTTGGATAAGTTTCTTAAAGTTGTATTTTGTTTTTAGAGCTTGAACATGCCTTTTGTAACACTTCACTTACAAAATCTGTTTGGATCTAAATCTCCAAGGTTCATCTTTTATTTTGTTTTTTTAAGATGCTCTGCCATCTAGTGCCCATCTCCTTTCAATACAGCATTACAACAGATCCCCTTCCATCTTAAGTAGCCTTCTCCAGCCTGGCTATTCTGGTTGGAGATGAAAATCATGTATCCGGAAGGGACGAAGTTAAAACTGTTGTATACTAAGGAGCCAGGTAAACCTCAGTGCTCTCTCCCTAAGATCTACTGAAACCTCTACTTAGCTTTTATCAGGCTATTTTTGTAAGTTAGCACATTTATCTTTAGTTCCATAAGGAAGAACATCTCAAGAAGCAAAGAACTGAAAACCTTGGAATCCACAACTGGACATGCAAAGCTGAATCCAGAGACTTTAGAACACATTCTTTAAGACAGGAATGGGCAAACTTTTAATCTCCTAAAGACCACATTATTTTGCTGAAATATACTGTACTGAATTTTGGTTGAGGTTACAACAAAGATGCTGTGCAATAATGCTTTTCTCACAAACTCTAGGGTTGTTCAGTAAGCCACAGAACTCAGCATCCATTCACGCAGTCACCGTATCTTGTGCATTCCACCAGGCTTCTCCACACACCCGTCTATTTTCCCAGGCCAGATTTACACATCATGCTAAACTCTGTTTTCTCACAAAGCCACAAAAACAGCATACACATAATGAGCCATGGTTTTAGACCTAATTGTATATGTAATAAATCACAAAGGCTAAGTTCACACAACACACCAAGACAGAATCAAACATGTCCCACTTCATAATATGAGAACCCAGCCCACATTCATGTTCTACCAACACTGATTCTTCATACCCTGCTTGTGTGGTGATGAATTCCCTTTCCAGGCCAGGATACTGTTAGAATGTGCAGATCTTGATACCAGTAGTTGGGATGCAAGGATCAGCAAGTGGAATGTGAAGTACAGAATAGCAAGGAGAAGGCCGGATTACTAATTATTGAGTCAATTCCCTCCGGTCAATCTTACAGGCTAATATTTCACAGTCTTGTTTATTTTTGATTCCAATTTTTTAGGGTACACTCGACTAAATCCTCCTTCCCCCTTCTAAGTTTCAGCTTTGTAGTCCCTAACAAGCCAGCTCCAGGCTTAAGCGGGACCTAGGGTAGTGGCCACTGGTTAGTCCCTCTATGCCAGCCTTTCCACCATGATCTTAGTCAGTGACAGTGTTTTCTAAAGGCAGTTGCCATTTTAGGCTTTCAATGGCAGAAAGTGAAGAAGAACTAAAGAGCCTCTTGATGAGGGTGAAAGAGGAGAGTGCAAAAGCTGG